CGAAATTAACAAGCTCGTGACGTCATAGATCAATTGACCACACGGACGTTGTGTTATATTTTGTGTGTGACAGGAAAACGATAAACGTAAACATTGCTCCAGGCGAGAGAATATAGTTGTCGCTTTTATTAGGGGCTGACTTTGCACACGTGTTGGCTTTGATTCCTTCGAAGATACTCTCGTGTTTCAATGGCCAGATGATTGCTCAAAAGCAACGTAAAGGGAGATAATGCGTGAAAATGTAACCGTCGAAATTGGTGAGTCGCCAACTAATGTCTCCCAGACCAAATGGCAGGAGTTCTGGAGTTGGAAGACCCGATATCAACTCTGCGCCATTTGCGTGGTTCCTTTCGTCTTGATCTTCATTGGTTGTGTGCTCCTAGGACTGCACTGGTCTGGATCTTTTACAAAAGGCTCCAGCCAAGCTGTGCTCACTTGCGGAATGGTTTCATTTTTTAGCGGCTTCCTCGTTTGTGTTATCGCCAATTTCTGCGACGCCTGTGGCGTAACATGCAGCAAACACGAAGAAGTGAACAGCAACGACGCGCAGAACAACACCATGTTTCTAGACTTGAGTGAACTTGGACCAAGGCCAAACGATCCCGAATTCGACGACGATAAATCGGAAAACAGTCCCCAAACAGAGGTGGACCTATTTGAAAACCATTCGGAACCCCAGAGAAAATAATTCATCAATATCACCATGAGTTATTTCTGTTTACTGCATATCCGATGACAGTTTATTTTTGATCACGCAAAGAGAGTTCAATTTGGAGTTTTAGCTGATAAACCTTTGAAAATAATCATCCTGATGTGCAAGCCGTGAAATAAACCACTCGACCTCTGTTTTGTAGAAATGTTTGCCATTCGTGAACTAAGCTCATATTCTGTGGTGCGTTTTTGTTGTGAATAGACAGGTTGCGCAATAGCAACTACAGCTTCCGTTTCGTCTGACAAAAAATTGATGAATAATATACAATTTGTCTCTTATTCCAAAGAAAAATTCAATACTTTAAGAGGTAGAATGATGTAAATATTAAAATTCTGACATTGAGGACATCAATTCAAACAGTAAGACATAAAATCAAGTTTGTAATGCTTTTAGATATTTACGGTAATTTACATTCTAGCAGCCGCGAATACGTTTACGATTCGCACGTGAATAAATTATTCTAATTTAAGTGAAAATAAATGTCTTGTCTAGTCAAGTTATTCAAATATTTTTTAGATGCTGAGACTCTTTTTAGAGTGTTACATGCTGCATAAGTTGGGGCTAGTGTGATTTACCAGCTACAGCTGACCGGTTGGAGGAGCACTTTACGAAAGAGATGTCTCCCGCTTTGAAAGATCAAGATCTCTGTTTTGTTGTAAAACAAAGGGTGGAATTAGCCCCAAAGCCGCGACAGATCAATGGACGATACAGAAGGAAAAATCAAAATTATTCCTTCTCGAAAAGTCGACGTTTGACCTTCTTTCTATTTGCCATAGTTGTATTACTGAGAAGGAGAGCACGAATACTGAAGATAAGTATTTCAGTACAGTATTTCAATTTCCAGTAGAACACCCCAGAGGATCAAATCACGTGCGGTCACGGCTGGCTTAGTTGACATTAAACAAGCGGGTTTCGTATAAAGCGGTTAATTTTTTTTTTCTAATCCATGATCAAAATATGGCTTGATTTTGCTAACTATCATGACTACTTTTTGCTTGAAAAATAGTAATGGTAGGAATAGTAATTATAATTTCAAAAAAGACAAATTTAGCCAAATGTGCGCCAACACAATTATTTTTACTATTTTACGGGTGCACAAACTGGAAAGAGTGCCCTGTGAATACTGCACTGGTAGGGGAGGGGCGACTCGAAGGGATTTGACGGAACTCATTTCAACTTTTTAAATTTTCTCAGAGTGTAAAATGTCGAATAATGCGAAAAATGTTTACAAGAAGCTATGGGAGAGAGAAGTGACTCGCTATAATTTGTGTTCGTTACATAAACTAGCATCTAGAGTCGATTATGGCGGCCAGCACGCAGGAGAGGCAAACCATGCTATGTAGATTTTGAAGATGAGCTAATCTACAAACTCAACAAGTTCAGAGAAACAAAAATTCTCTGGATGTGTGTTATGAAGACTCGAGCCAAAGGACACTCTGGTAGAGCAGTCATTTCTTGGGTGAAACATGATGTGCCAACCAGAGAATCTTGAAATATTTCAGAACTAATGAATGTGCCAGACTATTTTCGATGAAAAAGTTAAGTCTCTGGGAATGTTTGACCTAGAGCTAGTTTCCAAGAATGCCACTTGCACAAGCATTGGACTTGTTTCTATATCCGGTGCTCGCCCGGGACATTTCACATAAACTTCGCGTGTGGTGGTAATCACCGATGGAGTTTTTAGAGATATCTATAGAGATGAAATTTATTGTTTTGTTCTCGCTATAAGACCTATGAGTCCCTATCAATGATGACTTTCCCTTGTTCCAATCATGGTGTTACCGTGTGTGGAGGACTCTTGTACGTAATGGGTAGAGGGAATCCTAGTGGTTCAGTGTGTTGTTTCAACCCCCAAAAAATGAATGAAGCGCTCTTAACACTGAATATCACAGATTGGAATGAAGTGTCACACCATTTAATGAAGAGCTCTATTTAATTGGTGGAGAGGATTACTGGCATAATGTTCATATTTTCTTAATGGATGGAGACAAGGCGTATCAATGAAATTTGCTAATTGCTGAACACAATGCACTTTTACTAGAAGAACTTGTTTTTTTCATTGCTGATTGCAATGATGAGCATTACCTGAACAGTGCAGGGTGTTACAATCTATCAACAGGCCAATGGGCCAAGATTTCAAATATGTCTGATGTCTTAAGGTCAGCCGCTGCTGTGGCAGTTGGTGGAAAAATTGTAGTTTAAAAAACTAGTAAATGGCATGAAATATCAGTTATACCAGGTGGGTTTTGCTAAGGGCTACAAGAATCTTTGCCTAAATTACAAAATAACATTTATGAAGAACAGTCACTGAAGTCCCCCTTTTCAAAGATGAGGCAGTAGCCCAGGCATTTCAAGAAACTTAAATTATTACAAGTGGAAAAAAGGACTTGGGAAGTAATCAGTTTCTATGGGAAGTATTCCTCCAAGAGCCAAATCATCAGGAATCCTTAATTTTCAATTTATGACTCATTGAAATTCCATACAGAATGTGTTAATAGGTAATTTTATAAGAGTCTTTTATTGTTTTATTGTCAGTTAACATTTTATATGATCTAGATACATTTGTTGGCCAACAGCTAACTGGTTACACATGCTAAATGTAACCAGAACAATGATAAGTATGTGAATGTGTGGAAATTTGCCACAAATTTTATGTTAAACATTTGGCTCACTTACATTTATGTAACATGATTGATATACAATGTAGTTGATGGTAATTGAAATGGAAATTTTTTTAGATAAGATGGTATTTTGAAGGGAATACTTTAGTGTATAGTTTAGGAGTGCTGACATTTTGATATTAGCATTGTTATAAGCCAGTTTTTTGGCTCATTAATGGAACATTTTTGTCTAAGCTTGATTGGGCATTTATGCACACTCCAATCAGAAATGGTTTTTAGAACATTGAAATCATTAAGAATGACCCAGCTCACTGCAAAGAGAGCTTGGAGGAAGAACAGAGCAGCATCCTCCTTACAGGTAGCTGTGCAGGAGACTTTCATTCCTGAGTCAAGGAGTGTTCCAGCCTGATTCAGCTAAACTAGCCAGTCTGTATGCCTTCTCCTCCCAAGAAGGGAAAATATGATGCACACAATGGTGGTGGAGGAGGCAAGGGGGGAGTGATCACGAGAAGTTTACACCTTCTGTGCTTAATTCCCTTTGCAAAAAAGATCTTTTAACTTACCTGCATATCTTTATAAATATAGAAGTATAGACTGATGTTCTTCACTGCAAAAAAATAATTACCTTTTCTGTAATTTTATGAAGTTCTTGGTTGGCTATATATTGTTTCACAATCAGACTTTTGGTCAAAGGTTTTGCTAGTATATGAATAAATAAATAAATATTATGGCTACTATAAAGTTTACTTATCAGATCAAGGGAGTTTCACTGTTTATGGGTTAAATGATAAGCTGGATTATACACACATTTTGACTGCTTCTCAGGTATTATTGATTTGGAGACAGACGCATAGATTATCAACATTTTGCTTATCTATTGTGGAAAACAAATAGATAATATGTGATGAAGTGTCATTATAGTAATTTCCTGGATGTAGAAAATGGTGAAAGAAAGCAAATTTAAACAGTATTCCTTCGAGTTTTGATGGAAATTACATTACAGACCGAAAAGAAATTTAATTGCAGTCCAGAAAATACTCGCCTGGAGAGACGAGACGATTACATGACTTATCAATAAAGGGCAAAATTACTGAGCGCTGATTGGTTGAGAGAGAGGGCATTTTTTTCTTAATCGAGGGCATTTTTAGTAATCAAGAGAGGGCATGATTACCTGTTAATGATTGGCTAATCCGTTGCATAGCAACCGTTCGTTATCTTGAAATTTGTTATCAAGTTTTTGTTGCAACAATGGCTTGTCGTTTTATTGAAGCGGACGACGAATTAATTGAACTTTTGAAATGCGAAATTAATTGACACAGTTTTGGAGAATAAAATTTCATTGAATCGATTGGTCAGTTCAATTTGATTGATGATTTGCCTTAGCGCTAAACAGGCTTCCCAGATAAAAATAGACTGCGCGCGTGATTTTCCTTCGTATAAATTTTGCCCTTTATTGATAAACAAGTAATCCCATGAGACCTCGTACTATTAAGGATTAATTGCACTTGAGTTTTTAAAATTTTCCAAATTTTGGAAAATTTTGAAAACTCTCGTGTAATTAATCCTTAATAGTACTTGGCCTCATGTGATTACATATACAAATAGCTAGCTATAAATTGTGTTCCTTACATGAAGTAATTTTTTGAAGGTCGGATGCGTACTACGGTTCTACTATGGCGGCCAGCAGCAGACAGGTAGAGGCGAGAATTGATGAAAAGCCTGAAATTATGTACGATGATTTTAGGGAAGAGTTACTCCATAAACTCAACGAACTCAGAGAATCGAATTCTCTCTGTGATACAACAATTCGAGCCCAAGGACAGGATTTCCCTGCCCACAGATGTGTTCTGTCAGCTGCAAGCCCTTACTTCCGTGCCATGTTTACAAGTGAATTAAAGGAAAAAGAAAGTGACCTTGTCGAGTTAAAGGAGATGAAATCTAGCACGATTAGCGATGTTCTTCATTATATTTATACCGGTGAAACAGCAATCGACTCTTCCAACGCGAAAGATTTGGTCATGGTCGCCGACTATTTGATGATACCAAGTTTGAAAAGGAAAGCTGCAGTTTTCCTCCAGAATGAAATGCTAAATGTTTCCAGTTGTTTAGCTTTAGAATCGTTCGCTTCTCAGTACGATTGCAAGCAACTAAGGCAAGCCGCAGTTTCTTTCCAAACTGAGAATTTTGTAGACGTCTCTAGATCTGAAGATTTCACTTTACTTGATTCGAGAAAATTACAAGAACTGATTTGCATGGACGAGCTAAACGTGGCTGAAGAAGAGGAAGTGTATGAAGCAGTGATGACCTGGGTGAAACATGATCTACCATCCAGAGAGTGCACTCTTCCAGAATTGTTGAAATCTGTTAGATTGTTTTCAATGTCAAAATCCAGTCTTCGAAGAATACTTGATCAAGAGCTGGTTTCTAAAAGTCTCGCATGTACGAGGATTGTAATAAATGCGTTGGATTTGTTCCTTTTCCCAGTGTTGTCGCATGACATTTCACTGACACCTCGCTCGTCATTAAATAATTATGAAGATGTAGTGGTACTCACACGTTCTGAGCTACCATCTGATGAAAATGATAACGACAGAACTCATTTTTTTGTTCTCGCCACTATGACCTGGGGGTCCCTCCCCACGGTGCCTTCCAACTGCGAACATCATGTAGCAGCAGCAGTGTGCGGAGGACTCTTGTATGTAGTAGGAGATTTTGGATCAACTTCATTGAGTTGTTTTAACCCAAAGCAGAATAAGTGGAGCACTCCTGATACAAAATTAAACTGCAAAGGCTGTACAGTCACATCTTTTGATGATGAGCTCTTTGTGATAGGTGGTGAGGATTCTTGGCATGATGTTCAAATATACAATCCAGTTCTTAAAGAGTGGAGACAAGGAGCATCAATGGAAGCTGCTCGTGCAGGACATAATGCAGTTTTACTTCAAGGACATATTTATGTCATTGCTGGTCACAATGGTGAGCAATGTCAGAACAGTGCAGAGTGTTACAATCCATTAACTGACCAATGGGCTGAGATTTCAAGCATGTCTGATGTTCGAAGGTCAGCTGCTGCTGTGGCAGTTGGTGGAAAAATTTTAGTTGTTGGAGGATTTGGTGACATGTCAGTTTACACTGTAGAGTCTTCCTGCGAAATATTTGATCCAGGGACAAATCAGTGGAACCTGGTACCTAGTCTAGATATTCCTCGTGCTCGCTGTGGTATTGTGGGTGTAGGAGACACTGTTTATTTATTTGGAGGTGAGGATGAAAATGAATGTAGGAGCGACGTGCAATGTTTTGATTTAAAAACAAGTAAGTGGCATGAAATATCAATTATTCCAATGTATCCTTATAGTGGCATACAAGCATCTTTGCTGAAATTACCCAAACATTTTAGCAAAAATAGTCACTCAATATGAAATCACATCTTGAAAGGGTGGAATAGTTTCTCAGTTTTTTGTAGAAATTTCAATAAATGTCAACAGGAGAAAAGGATCATTGAAATAATTGCTCTGATTACTTTACCTGTACAACATAATTAATACATACTGTATTAAATGGCAATAAGAATGAAGTTTTTCATTTAAGGTGGTATTTTTAATGAAGTATTTCAGCATATAGTTTACTGGATAGTGACATTTTTGTCACCAGCAAAGTTTGATCGATTGATTAAATAACCAACATTTTCTTCCGAACAAAGACATGTGACTGAAAAAATGGTCCTATTGGGTGCAAACAGGACCTGATTAATTTTCAAAACCCTTCAAATCTTTAGTTTATAACTGTTTAGCATTTGATGTTCAGGTCTTAGGGAAAAAACTGTTAAGTTAATAAAAATGCAGGAAGCACTTGCATGCCTTACCAGGTTTTGACCAATTCCCTTTTAAATGAGGTTTGGAAATCCATTCTTTTCACTATTAGAGCAAACTTGCAAGGATGCCCCTCAACCTTGGCAGCAAAATATGTCAATTATTTGTATCCAGTAAGAACTTTTTCCTCTGTTATCTGCCCAAAATTTGTCAGATAAAAATGATATTATTTATTGTTATTAACTGTTGTTATGATACTAGGGCTATACCCTAGCAAAGCCATGGTGCTACATCAACTAAATTTAGTCTTGGATGAGTTGTGTAACTGTGTTTTGTGTTGTAAAAATGTAAACAGACCATTAATCAAAACAAAATACTGAACTATCATATACAGCTAAGTTATGTAACATTGTGTACCAAAATTTGATGATAACGAATCCCACACAAATGAGCAGAATAATTAACACTAAGTTCAGGTTCTATTTACAATGAACCCTCTAACTTTCATGAATGACCAAGAGGGAATTTCTCCTCACAATATCTATACAACATCAACCAGAAGAGTGATGAGAATAAAGAAAAACATTAATTTGGGGATAAGTAGTTGATCCAATACTAAATTCTCTGAACTAACACTATAAGAATTGTATGGTTGACAGTAAGGAAAATCACAAATTTGATGTGGGAGTTAAAGGGTTAACAATATATTGTGATTCAAGAAAACTGAGCACCCCAGATTTATGTGACTAGAAGAGTTTTTTGGATATAATGTTAGGAATACTAAATTTAAAGGTTAGGCGTTTCCCTTTGATGGTCAAACTCAGTGTTAGAACAAAACACACAATGACAGGTTAGTTTTGTGTATTAGATGCTAGGTGCATCCTAAGCTTTGTTCCCAGGGTGCTTTTTAGACTTTACTTGTGAGTTTCAATTTTTTATGCATCTTTAGAAGATTGGTTATATTTATTTCTGTATTTTTTTTAGATTAAATATAACAAATGAATAATCTTACCAAAGTTTAGATTCAACAATGACTAATAGTTAAAAGTTTTCTAGTATTCTCCTTGTATACCTGATTTATAATCATTTGCCCTCAAAGCTTATTTTTATTTTTAGATTTCTCAGTAAAAGGCTCCCTCTAGCTTTAACCCTTCTGGATTTTCCTCCTTCTTAAGAGTGGACCATGGTCAAATAACTACTGCTTGCTCAAAAATAAGGGGAACTTAACAAAGTTCACTCAAATTTCTTAGTCTTTTTGGCCAGGTGACCTCTTAACTCTTTAACTCCCTTGAGAGACCAAGACATCATTTCTCCTTACAATATCAATACAATATCAACTAGATAAGTGATGAGAAAAAAGAAAAATATAAATTTGGGGATAATTAATTGATCTAATACTAAATTCTCTGAATTAACATTATAAGAATTGTATGGTTGACAGTAAGGAGAATGACAAATTTGATCTGGGAGTTAAAGGGTTAGGCAGGCCTATTCAAATTTTAGTGATATTATGTGACTTTGATTATGATGAGGAGACAAAATACCAACCAAGTTTCCTCTCGAGTTCTTTGTTTTTACTTGACTTCGATAATGAGCAGAAACGGCTTTTAAGATTAAAATGAGCTCACTTGAAGATTCTTCATCAGTCTAGTTGAATTCGTTTCTCAGTCGGTACACAGGGTGATATTGCACAATATTTCATACCCTCAGATCTTGTCACAAATGTTTCCAACCGTATGTTCCTCGGTAGCAAGAGGTCAGAGGGTCTTTTGGAAATGACTCTGTGAGTTCGTGTTGTCATTCAGTCATACATCCTGTTCCCCCGACAAAGAATCTGGAGATGAAGGCACAGTGGATTAGAATTACTTCAAATGGCCTGCGGCTTTTCAACTCAAGGCTCGGCTCTTTCGTACATGTGACGGAAATAAGCCGACTTTTAAAACCGCAAAAGCTAATCTGCATCCCATACTGTGAGTAATTTGTCACGCGGAACTTCTGTTATACAATATGAGTACTTAAGAGCACTGACGACAAAAGATGTTGAGCGTGGAAAGATCTCCTCCCACAACTTTCACTAATCACGTTTATCTCGAAAATGCGTTCCACGTGTTCTAGAAAGCCTTGCCTTTTTCACCCTCGACAACAACCCACTACAAGTATTCAATTAGTAACTCCATCCATGGGTTATAACTCAGACCAGAGACCAGCTTAAGGTCAGCACTCACTTCATCAAATTAACATCACTTTCCACGTTTTCCAACATTCTAGTTTGCCTTTAAGAAATAAACTTATGGTTAGGCAGCCAGATGTAAGATTAATACAGTATTTCAATATTGCGGCTTAGCGCCGATCCTGCGGAATTTATGGATTTCTTTTTTTTCTCTTTTTTTTTTAGTACGCCGGAAAAAATTTGGAAACGGCAATCGATGTCGAACTGGTAAAAGGTGTGACTAAAAGATTTTGCGAGCCGTGTCTTTGTTAATCGTTGCATTAAAAAAACTTGAAATCTAAGATAAACAACATAATCAGGTGTAATTTTAAAATCTTACGTGCTTATTGCCGTGAGGGGTCTAGAGGGGGTGGGGGAAGGGGTTGATAAGACGACGGAGTGGGGAGGGGGAGTGGGAAAGAGAAAGAGTCATTCACTATCCTAACTGATGTTAGCTTTATGAACCAGGTGTGACCTTCCAGCCTATTATTGGTTTTATGTTCTATGTTCATCACAGGGAGGGCAGGAATGACTTGGAGGGAATAAGGGAAGGTTACGGTCAGTTTGTCCCGATGCACTTTCAGTTTCACCCCCCTCTTGTTGAATGTCAATTACCATCAGGTTAAAAATATCTCAATGCTAAGTATCATGATTGTTTTCGGTGTTAGAAACACACTTTTTTAAAATTTACTATCAATATCGCTCTGTCGCCAGACGGCAATACCAAAGAGACACAGACATTGTCTAGAACGTTTTTGAACCCCACGCAAATGAAAAAAAGGAAATGAAAAAATTCCAGTCAATCCAGATTAAAAACTGTTATCGATTCAAATCTCAAAGGAGCCCGCCAGTCGCAAAAAAAAGCTTTACTTTCGTATTTTACTCCATATAGACACACCATCGCTCCTGGTTGTTTTCCATTTTATTATTTTTTTTCGATATGGGGGTCCTGTCATTTATGGGGTCAAGATTTAGTTTGTAAGTGCGGTGCAAATTCTTCAAACTCGAGCCTTTATTTATCAGCAAATTTCTCGGTGTAGATGGAAAATTTTGCTTGAGGTTAGAACTAGGGTCAAGCGTCAAAATGATATAAAAAAAGTATCTCTTGAAATATCAACTGTGCCTTATCTTTAACTAATACAATTAGAAAGAAAGAATCTTATACCGATATAAAACTGAAATCGCAAGTCTGAAAAGATTTTTCATGAATTGCGTTAAAATAATGGAAGGGATGATGTCGTGTATAGCATTTGTGAAGACGAGTTTACGCTCACTTGAACCAGATTATCATTACATGGTGCTTAGACACGATCGATTAATTAGGCACCAGTAGTTTTTTTTTTTTTTTGGAAAAATTCTACTCAATAGGTCATGCAATCCAACTAAACCTCTCCTGGGCCGAGAGCAACTTTTAATCTCTCCATAGTTACAAGGACAGATACAAAAAAAATTTTTTCCTACATTTTATCTTTCCGTTTGCATTTTTCAACGAGTTCCCAAGCCAGCTTTCGACCAAGTCTTAGAACAGGCTGTCCGGTATATCTAATAGACTAAGGCAACTTGCCAGGGAGACACACAAAGCCATCTCTAATCATTATGATAACCAATTATCAAGATAATTTACTCATGGTGTCTTTTGATCCTTTCACTTCTTAGAAGACTAATTTTCTTCTGTTTTTAGACAGAAAAACTTCTAAATGTTGCAAATCGAACCAAGATATTTCATCAGTTTCCAAAGAATTCCAGCATAAATTTTTCTATGTTCATGAAAAGACGACTAGACATTTTACTCAGCGAGTGATCGACAAGTATTCTTTCATGTGACTGTTGGCGTGCTCTCGCGGGACAAAAACAGCATAAAAGCTGTAAAATAGAGGAAATGTCTTAAAAGGAAGACAGGGAAACAGTGAAACCAACATGATCAAAAAACAAACCACAAAACGGGAAATATGATGATAAACATATTGTGAACTACATGCATTAGAAAAACTGTGCCCTAACGGGTATATTTTGAGTGTTCTCAGTTTTTCGCCAAATCGCCTTTTCTTTCTCTTTGCATCAATTAAACTTCTATAAAATTTCATTATTCACACTTTTATAACAAAAATAAAAGTGATGCCTTGCACATAATGGACCACGGGAAGTTGTTAGAATTCCAGACACGCAAACCAAACGAAGAAAACTTTTTCTCCTCAAGAACAATATGGTGTTTGTCAATATTTTGAATCAGATAATAATGAAGTCTTGACATTTTTCGGATCGTAATCTAGAACTGTTCTAAGCTCTAGATCAGTTTTTCATCTTCCTATTTGTTTCGTGATGAGTGCTCTTTTCGATGAAACTATCTTAGAGAAGACAGCAATAAATTTAATAGTACGATATTGAATTAGATTAGGCAAGGAACAAAAGGAATTTAACAATTTACTGTAGGAGTTCTAAGGCTTGAACTTGACCAGTGATCCAATATTTCAGTACAAAGATTCTTTTCTTAGCTTATTTTGAAACATTCTTAAGACTGTTATGCTTTTTCACACAGGCCAAACAGTCACATCAGAAAACATAAACATATAAAATGCCGTCTGTTGATAATCGTTGATTGAATCCAGGTTTTTCGAGATTCCATAAAGTAGAACGAAAACTGCAATATACAACAGGCTCAATTACTTGTCACGTCACCGGACATGATCGAAAAAGGCTCGCCACAGGAATGATGTTTAGCGAGTTGGTTTTCGCAGAAGGGCAATATAGGTAAAGCTGTTGTTTCTTCAAATTAGAAACAATTGCCGACATTGTTTCGGCATTAATGGTCGCGAAGCCTCAGTGAGAGCAAAAACAGCTGTTTTATCGGTTGATTAAGGATAAAGTTAAACACGATTAGCTATTCAAGACTGAAATGAGCAGTGGACAATCCGTTGGCCAAGATGGGCCGGCAACTCAAGCACAAAATGAACTGTCAGATAGGCGAAATTCTACTGAACTGGCCTCGACGCGAAGGAGAAGAAAGATCTTCTGGGTGAGCATCGTGTGTTGGCTGATGATTTTGTGCGTAACAGCTATTATAATTATAGCTGTTGTACACTTTCAAAACTCTAAAAGCGACATAGATCAGATGAGTGCAGGCGCTCTTATTGGATTTGGAGTGTTGCTTATTTTTGTGCTTTTGTGGTCGGGTGTAATTTACTTCAAGTTTTATCGTTCGAAATCGAGAAGGGATCCGCAACAATACAGACCGAGCCGAGAAGAGTTTGTAGCCTTTGCCTCAAACGAGATCGTTTCAAGAGGAGTTAGTTCAACAATTTCTACAAATAATTCTGCAACGTATAGTCGATCTACTAATAGCTCAGCCGAAGGGATTAATCCTGAACGTATTATATATCGCGAACGACGCTATGACGACGAGCGACGTTACAACGACGAACGACGAGTTATCGATCAGGCCGTGGAAACGCCAATCATGACTTCGATTCCAAGTGCGTCTAGAATGACACGAGAATACATCGATCGCCAACTTGCTCTTGTCGGGAGATCACATGCAACACATCCTCCTGAACGCCAACGAACTGAAGCCGAACGCCCACGAATTATCGTCGACTCCAATCGTGCTCCTCCTCGTCAACATCATCGGCACTCAGTTCCAATGCCTCCACCATATCAACCACAGGTAGTCCCTTCATATAGAGCATCAGCAAGTTTACCCGCGGGTACCCCACCACCTGCTTATGACAGAGTCTGTGGCAGGAGGAACCGACGCGAGTCGACGGCGTCAGAAGACAGCCAGTGTCTGAGTCCTCCGGCTTATCAGTCGCGTCCTCCATCACCATCAGGTGGGATATCACAGGGGGTAGATACCACCAACATGTACCTTAATCTACCTTCCCAACGACCAAGACTGGTGGTCGGTCGCCCTGTTTCCATGCAATTTCCTGTTGAAAACATGAGACGCTATGAAGTAGCGACGAGCCAACCACGTCAGCAATTGTCACTACCATCAACTGGCAGAATTTTGTCAGAAAATGCCATTTATCCTGTGCCATCGAGAGCAAGGCGAGTTTCGCCTCCTGCAATACAAACTACGGCAATCACATCAATGGCGCCCTACCATCAACCACAACACAGATCATCAGCATCTCCACATTACCATGTATCACCCCATCTGCCAAATTCAGCATCACTTCCCCCCCTTGCCCTTGCACGGGGCCCACCATCAAGTCCAACACACCAGCCTGTTTCACCACCATATCCTACAGCGCATGTACCATTTTCTCTCCCTGTCTTAGCTTTAGGTGCTCCAGAAAGCACGTCTCGGCTTTCGCTTACGTCAAACCGTCCTCCTTCTCCAATACAAGAAGCTACTGAAGACAATCAGGAAGAAAACGAGAACAATAAAATTGAAACGCCGCCAGCGGCGACAAGTGAAGTACGCAGACCTAGTGTCGTTCTTGTCTATTTATCACAATCACCAGAGGAGGATATAATCGTATAAACGTATAAGAACGTTGACATTCCAAGAACCGTATGAGCTTTTCTCTGTCGAATCAATGAGACTTAGGCTTGAGAAAAGAGGAAACGAAATGAACTGCCTAAAATATCTAAATGTGCTTTCATTTTTAAAGAGCAACAAAGGAAACATTTTGCGTAGACGTTGAGATTTAATGCAATCTCGTACATGATATATAACTGTCTGCCTGCTTGCAATAAAATTGTTATTAATTAATTCATTCAATTTTTAATATTTTATTATTTATTAAATCAATGATAATTATAAAGAACCTCTTAATCATAATTGCACACTGTTGAAACAAGGGCTATTAACGAAACGTTAAGTATTACAGTAATTATTGCTAACTTCTTCTTATGAATGAAATATCTAAACGGTCGTGACGATGATCAATACAACAATTATTACGTAACGGGAAATTTGTTTAAGTTGGATCAGAAGTAAAATATTACTGCAGTGATTAAAAACCAGGATTAACAGGCTTGACAAAAAAGGGCAAACTTTCGACTTACTCTACATTACTTTGTCTATGTACAATTTAAATTATGCTGAAATAAAATTCTTCTGGTATTCAAGTTCTCATATTATATGAGTTGAAACTTTACCGAGAGATATGACGTTGGGTAAGAGTGGAAGACAGTGAACTGTATCTAAAAAAAAAACTCCGGCCATGCTTATATTAGGTCCTTTTAGATATTTTGGAGTGTGAAAGTAATTAATGATGGGATGATTTGCTTGTGGAATTATACTGTACGTACATGCACAGGGAAGTCCTTACATACGTTGGCTCCAACATCGCAACTCATCTCTCATTTCAAATACACTTTCATTTGCATCAAGTACCATTAACGACTTGTAATTATGACTTGTAATTCTTTTTTTTCTTCAATTCGACGTTACAGCCAGACAGACTGATTCCAGTACGTGATACGAACACATCTGATTTTCTAGTTTACAATTTACAGACAGTAGAGAAGTTTATAGACATACCAAGTGCGTGTACTTTTTCCTCGACAATTATAGAACTAGGGTACATTAGACTGAAATAGTTCCGCGATTGCGCTCGAGTCCAACATATGTCAGGATAATCGGGTAGATTAAATTAGCAAGCATTTAAACTATGCCATAGCACTTAAACTTTCCCAAAGTATGAAAGCCTCTTTCGTTTTCCTCCCCAGTATCTCCAAACCTCAGCTGTTTAACCGGAAGACTTTTCTTGTCGGTGAGGAGACCGCTGTCTTCTCGTAAAACTCCGTCGTTATTGTCGCAGTTACAAACGATGTCGGGTTTTGGGCACGTGTTGTTCATTCCGCATGCGCAGATTTGGTCTCCTTTCCCAGGCGAGGCTCCTCCCCAGTAATTCATCTTGATGTCATCGCGTGATACCCACCATGCGAATGTTCTGTTTTGCCAAACGATGGACGAAGATTGGCACTCATACTTAATATACTGTTCACAATGTAAGGAAACTTTGGCTAGATTGGCCAGCTGGGACAGACTCGCTCCTGTGTAATGAACGTCTCGTGAATAACATCCTGGGCCATTACATCCTTTCACTAGCATTCTGGTTTCACTGTCGTGACCAATGACTGTCACGCCAACTCCATTCTTGTCACTCATGTCACAGGTGACGTTAAATAAGGGCGGGAAGCCTCCCTCGCCATCAGGGTCAATGATGTACAAGCCCGTTTGTGCCGCAGGGTCAATCTGTTTCAAGGCGCTGCAGGACCTCGCTAATGCTGGGGATTGAAAAATTTTAATGTTAAAATTTACCAGCGTGTATCGATCAGAGGATGGTAAGAATAAATAATCTAGAACGTTAAACCAGGGTAATTAGCACCATTTTTGCCGTGAATATATCTAAAAAAATTACGATTACATCTCATCAAAGTGGCGAGACAGTGAGACTTCAAATATTTCAGTTTCTATAATATTTACCAATGATTTAGGTTATTTGTGAACTTTCTTGATTAAATTGGCAAACAACAACCTTAAGTTTTTAGAAACTTAAAGCTAAATTTGAATTTTTTGTTGTTGTGTGTGTGTGTGTTTGCGATAGAAAATGGCCAAACTTCGTATAAGTACCTAACCATTACTAACAAAAGCTTTTAACCCGAAATTGGGATTTTCTGGTACAAATTTAGTATCTATCATTAAAAAACGTCGTTTCAAAACCTAACGGATTTTATGGATTCCCAGGTCATTAATTATTTAGGATCAGTAAGCATTATAATACTTCATAGCTTAAGTAAAACATGTAATAATATTTTTTTCATCGTCAAATATGCAAAAAGAAAACTTAGATTAGATTTTTAATTATTTTATTTTTTCAGAAGATCACCGGCCGTGTAAAATAAGCCACGTACGTTAGTGATGGAAGCTCTTTCAATTAAAACTAATCGTATTTATTACACATCTCTATGTTTGTTTGAGTGTTGTGACACCCATGAGAAACTTTTTGTTTTTTTTTTTGGTGGAAGTGGTAATTATTCGGCTTCTCCCTAGGATATCACGACCTTATTAAAAAAAAAACAGGCAGCTGTATTAGATTTATCAGCACGGAGGTTTGATCTTGAACTCATATCAAACGATCTCCTTATCACAAGTTGAAAGGGAAATGTATGGCGTTTTTCAATCGAGATCTTGGCAATGAAATTAAAGGCGTTGATGTTTATTAATATGATGTTTATTAATAGGGTATGTGTTTGACCACATGCTGGTTAATGAATAATAACAGAGTACTACGGTCGCCAAGATAAAAACTTTATTACTAAGAATGTGACTGAATCATAATTCATTAAGAATGGAGCTTCACGGCACACATACAAAAAGGCTAGTTTTAAGAGTTAACGCTTGATATTACATTTGCCAAGGTTTATTTATATACTCTGTCGAGCTACCTTGACGCAATTAGCAAGAATCCCTCTTTGCAAAATAAAAATTGAAAAAATTTTATTTCAAATCCTAGTCAAACAAGGCTCCAGTAAACAGCTTGATAGTGATTACAACAGAGCCAAGAAACTAACGACATATCCGGACTAACATACATCAAACGCTTGCAATATAAACTATGAACGATTTAAAACTTGGTATCAATTTTGATATCCAATACCGAGGAAATAGGATACCTCTAAGCTTTTTTAAAGCTTAGAAAGCTTAGAAAAGCTTTCTTAGAAAAATCAATTTCAGGGAATTAAAACTGCGAACGAAAAAGATTCCGGCATCCCTCGCCTTCCAATTAGAGTCATTTTACTCCTAAAATGTGTTAAGGTTATTCACCTGATATTTATTTTGCTTTCCTCTTGATATCGTTGTCTCAATGGCCTTGTTAACCGTTAGCCATAAAACGGTGAAATAATCTAGCCGTTAGGTGTAAGAGTTGACAAATTTTAACCGTTAGTCGTTAAAAAAAATAACCGTAAAAATAATTTTTCTTGTGACCACAAAAGAGAGTGATTAACCATAAGCCATACATTTGAAAACATTTCAACCGCAAGCCGTAAAAGCAATCACCCTAATGAGATCCTCTGATAAGCGTTAACTCCGGTACAAAGCAATATTATTATCGTAGATGTTTTTTCAGAGTACCTGGTTTAGTCAACCATCTAGCTGTTGACTGATAAACAAGGAAATGCAATGGTTTCTGAGTGTCTGAGATGCATACTTTATCTTCTAATCAGCTATTTTCAAAAACTTTTTTTTACCTGGGTAGCCGGGATACCTCGCCATTCCCATGTAAGTGGATGACTTATCTGTTACAAAGCAGGCCCGGCAACTATGCTCTCTTGCTTTGCTGTTCAAATCACATATTTTCTTCTCCCACCAGAAATTAAAACTCATGCACTGAGGATCAAGCGCGCATATATATACGCAGTCAGAATAGTGTGATGTTTGCTTTGTGCTGTAGGAAGAGTTGAGAAGGGCAAAACCAAGCTGGGATTTCTCTTCACGACACATACCACCATTTGAAACCGAAAGTTGACGGTGAAGACAGAGAAAAGCTAACCAAATGCGCTGGAGATACATTTATCTCCGGTTGCTGCAGCCTGATAATGTTAAGATTCGGCGACTTTGGAACACAGCCTATTCACCTGTTCTCCACAGTTGGAAATCATGATAATGCATGACTCTATATTGCTTTTACTTGTAGGGGTTGCCTAGCGACTAAAAAACACTAAGGTCGGTCTGGTCTTACATGAAAGCTTTTTAGTTCGATTGTATTTATTAGCTTTTCATCTGGTGTACCCTGGATAAATTGTGGACAAAATTTAACAACTGGTTCATACGTCAGCGTACGTTCATCGAGATATGAAGCACGCGGGAAGTTTGGAGAGCACGAAAGATGCGTAATAGTTGCTCTCAGCTACGCCTCGAGCAACTCTAGCTTCTTGAAACATCCACGAAAGACGCGTAAGAGTTGCAACTCTAGCTTCTTGAGTGCTCTCCAAACTTCCCAAGTGCTTCATATCTCGATGAACGCACAGCTGACATATGAACCAATTGTTTTATAACATTTTTAACCCGATGGAAAATTTTTTTCTCGAGGGATTTGTTTGCTGACGTCATGAGCGTGCACACTAGGAATATGAAGCACGCTCGCGCAATTGAATTTGATTACACAAATTTACTGGCTATGTTATAAGACAAGCTAATGAATTGGCATTTTAATCATCTTTCCAACCACTGATTTGCGTTTTTTGCCAAGGCAGCGGTAATCAGTTTATTTTAGTATGTACAAATTAAAAATCCCGAACGGTGGTTGTAGAATTGTAAAAATCGCCATTTGGCTGAACTTCCTCGCCCTGCGGGCTTAAGGGGAGTAACAGTTTTATAAACGCATCACATTTGCACGAGACAGGATTTTTTATACCAAAATTCACAATACAGAGGTTTTCGTGAAACTGTCCATTGACTTATGACGAGCTCGCCAGTTCGTGCGCGTCTTTTTACTGCAGATAACTTTGAAAGGACTGTGCGCGAGAGAAAAAAGCTTTTGTTCCTCAGTTTTCATTAAAGTCTGAAGTGTCTCGAGGAGAGAAGAAAATTAAAATGATAAAAATTTTGCTGGTAGCAATTCCTTTTTTTTTACGTAAAAATGAAGCTTGAAATAAGCCAACGCGATTAAATTAACGCGAATTAGAAAATCTCACTAATTTTATGAAGTTTTACTTTCCTATCGTCGGGTATCACTGAAGTTTTTCTCGATTCTCACAGATGTTTATCAACTGAAAACCTGAAAACTTTGAGATGTGTTTCTGCGCAACAAAAGACACTTTACAGAGGGGGCGAGTCGGAAAAACACTTCAAGTCTGCCACTGCCAAGTTCCACTCAAATCAGTCAAATGAAGTAATCGTTTACAGCTAAATGAAGCTAACTTCCTCACATTGTGTAAGCTTGCAGCGAGTGAATCGAAAAGAGCCCGCAATGTAAACGATGTGCTTGGTAACCAACAATCACACTATTTCTAGAGATGTGCAGGTCAAAAGTTCACAGAAAATATAGCCCTGCAAGATGATGTGATGATTATCAATACTTCCCGTAACACTAAAGCATTGACTTGTTTCCGCCTCTACTACTGTTCCGCGTTGCTTAGAAAAATGCAACGACATCATAACTTTGAAAGGACTGTGCGTAAGAGAAAAAGCTTTTGTTCTTCAGTTGTCAAAAATGTCTGAAGTGTCTCGAGGAGAGAAGGAAATTAAAATGATGAGAAATTTTGCTGGTAGCGGGTCATTTCTTTTTAGTTAAAAATGAAGCTTGAAATAAGTCTACGCGATCAAATTAACACGAATTAGAAAATCTCACTAATTTTAGGAAGCTTTATTTTCCTGTCGTCAGGTATCTCTTACGTTTTTCTCGATTCTCGCAGATGTTTATCTATCAGTTATGGACGTGACTGAAAACCTGAACACTTCGAGATGTGTTTCAGCGAAACAAGAACACGCTTTACAGAGGGGGCAAGTCGGTAAAAAACTCAGTACAAGTCTACCACAGCCATGTTCCGCTCAAGTCAGTCAAATGAAGTAATCGTTTACAGCTTTATGTGCAGGTCAAAAGTTCACCGAAACTGTAGCTTTATACCCTTGCAAGATACTATGATGATTATCAATTATACTTCCCGTAACACTAAAGCATTGACTTGTTTCCGCTTTTACTACTGTTCCGCGTTTGCTTAAAAAAATGCAACGACATCAGAACAGGTCTCATGAGTAAGTGTTGTAGCGCAACAGGAAATCAAAATGTTCGATCCGTCACGTCGACCCTAAGGACTTTATAAATGCACTCATGATTGAAGGACTTATCTTGTTACTTTATTTGAGCACTAGATCGTTCATGAACCGGTCGATCGTCTCCTCAAAAGTCAAGATACATTGATCAGTATATGTCTATGAATTTGAGATATCTTTCTGAAAGCTGTAACAATGAAACAACACGAAAAAGCAGAGAAGCAAATGAAGAGAACACAGATGTTGGAGCGCTTTTGTTCCGGGTCAGCCTTGTTGTTGTCCCTTTTATGTTGTGTTGCGTGGATTAACGTGGAACTCAGAATACAAGAACACCATCGACTGATATCACATTCAGCAAAGTTCTGTGATAAGATAGAGACAGAAATCATACGAAAGATGCAGAAGAATTACGCACGTTGGCAACTTGAGAATATAAGGAAAAAGGAAGATGGTAAGTTTTGCTATGTTGGCAGTCATCTATTATCGTGTTTGCCGCAGTCGGTTACACCAGTGTTCCACGCGTATTTCTGAATAGGTGACGCAGTATTTAACGCTTAACATTCTAGGAGAAAAATTGCTCCTAAGTAAACTGTTTTTAACACATTTTTAATTCAAAGAAAAAGCTTCCTCGCGAGCAAAATTAAATTTAGCCACGCAACTATTAGTTAAAATTTATTGATTCGGGCTTGCAGAAGTATTTTCCTTGATAGGTAGACTTCAAACTCCAAATTACAAGATTAATAACATTTCCATTTCTTTGATGCCAATGAATATGAGAAACAGAGCCAATCTTTGATATTTTCAGACGGACAGGAAGCTATGTCGAGAAAGAAACGCTTTACACGGGATGATTTACAACAAAACTCTTCCTTAGCATCCTCTTTGGTACAAAAGCTGATCAAACAAGAGCTTAGTCTACTGCAAAACCAGTTCTGCGCAAAAAATCACACACTTTGCCAAGCAGGACAAAAAGGTAACAGGGGAAGACGAGGAAAACCGGGAAACCGAGGGAAGCGGGGTCCTCCTGGAAGAACTGGTCCAGAAGGGCCACCTGGTAAATATGGACCGATAGGACCGCCGGGGCCGATAGGAATAAAGGGGGATGTCGGATTACCAGGGAGCCCCGGTCCCTTGGGACCGCGAGGGCCACCGGGAGAGAAAGGAGCCACAGGTAAGCCCGGTGAGTCCCTCTCAGCGCCATCTCTGATTGAGCGACCCATTGGAATGACAGTCAATGAAAGTCAGACAGCCATGTTGAAATGTAAAGTGAGTGGTAACCCAAAGCCAAAAGTGAAGTGGTCTAAGGTGAGATCATCGCTTCCTGTTGGACGTCACACGGTAGAGTCCAGTGGTGCGCTAATTCTAAAAGACGTTAGACCTGGGGACGACGGAGTCTACAGCTGCAGGGCAGAGAGTTTGCTGGGACAAGTGAACTCCTCAGCAAAATTAACTGTTCAGTGTAAGTCATTCAATTTAAGTTTGAAAGTCATCAAATGAAACAGTTCATCTGACACACTGAGAGACATTCCTTGCCAGAAGACAACTAAAGCTTCCAAAGTTAAACTTTAATCCTTAAAAAGAAATTGATTTTTTTTTTCTTATTTGATCCTATAATTAAGGCATAATATTGGGTGTTATGAAACTAAACTATAACATTATAAATTTCAGTGTCAACACTCTTTGAGAAAGGAATTATATCTGCGTTTTCTTTTCCATAGTCATCCCTAAACCTAAGTTATCATCAAGTCGATTAATGGCTGAAGAGAAACAGAACGTCACTATTGCCTGCAATGCTGTCGGTCAGCCGCAGCCAAGCATCACGTGGTCTAAGGCAGTGGGTAGTTTGCCAAAAGATAGGACTGAAGTGAAGAATGGAAAGTTAAAAATCTATAGTTTGGCGAAAAAGGACAGTGGAATATTCATTTGCAAGGCAGAGAATACTTTAGGATCAGCGACATACACTGCTCATCTCGTGGTATTTACTGCTCTGAAGTTCAAAGTGCGTCCTCCTCAGGAGGTGACTCTGTATCCTCCTCTTTATGTGCCATGTACGGCCGAGAGTGACCTGAGCACTAAAATCACTTGGACAAAGGATGGCATGTCTCCTCTTCCTGTGGAGTCTAATGTTCTACAAAATGGAACACTGGTTATAAACAACATCAGGGAATCACACCAAGGAAATTACACCTGCAGAGCGACTAATGCTTTGACAACAATAGAAGCCAAAGTTAAAATCATCTTTCGTAATGTTTCGTCTTGTTCTGTGATAAGAAAATACGTCAGTAGCGCAAACGGAAATTACGTCATTGATCCAGATGGCGAAGGGGGACTGGCACCTTTCACGGTATATTGTGACATGAGTGACAAGAATGGAGTTGGCGTGACTGTTATTAGTCACGACAGTGAAAGTAGAACACATGTGAACGGATGCGAGCCTATAGGCTGTTATTCACGAGACATTGATTATACCGGAGCGAGTTTGTCTCAGCTCGCAAGTCTCACCAGTGTCTCCTCACAGTGTGAACAGTTTATCAAGTATGAGTGTCATGATTCAATACTAATAAGACGGAAGGGAGGTGAACACGGATGGTGGGTGTCACGCGACTCCGCTAAAATGACGACCTGGGGTGGAGCAACACCTGGAAGTGGTAAGTGCGCATGCGGGATGACCAACTCCTGTGCAGACCCCAGTTATCCATGTAATTGTGATAAGAATGACGATGTATGGCGTGAAGACAGCGGTCTGCTCACTGAAAAGACACATCTACCAGTCAAACAGCTCAGGTTTGGTGACACAGGTGATGGATCAGAAGAAGGATATCACACTCTGGGAAAACTTAAATGCTATGGAATAGCATGAGCAGTTAACATGGAAGCAGTAAAAAAAATTAATAGTCAGTCAAACCAACCTTATATTTCGTTGAAAGTTTGGCTTTTAAGTTAGACTGTTCCTGTTCATTGACTTAATTTCGAAGATTTTAAGTGCACTCCAATTTACTTAAATAGTTTATGGAATTGTACAAGCAACTCATCTCACCTCCCGCTTCAATTTCCTATATTAACGATAGTTTCAGGATGTGCTTTGTTACGGACCGTGGAGTTGACTAGTCAGCTCTAGTGGCGTTCTAAGATTGTGGCGCAACTCGCAAAAGTTAAATGCTATGAGAGGGCATGTGCGCTTCAATTCAAATATAGATTAGAGTGTTTCCCGAAGCTTAGCTAGTCAAAAACTGAAAACATCCTTAGAACATTTTAAGAATAGGAATAATAAAATCGCTTCTCATGTTCTTTTAGTCAGTATAGGTAGGGTAAAACGCTGTTAGCTAGAACTTCAAAAAGTTCTTGTTAACCAGTGTTTCATTTAAAAGGCTTTAACGTGAATGACTGTAGTTTTATTTGCGGTCTAACAGAAATAACTACTTTAAGTACTTTGCGAAACTTTAGAGTTTCATTTTTTTTCACAACTAGTGCGTTGCAACTTTCTTAAGCTTGAAGGCTTCAATGGCTTCACCAAAATTATATAATTTGCCTAGTTTGCACGTCAACTATAGTGTCCACTTGTAATCTATCAAGGAATATCTTGAAACTTGCTGAGAAGTTCCTCTGTCCTGTCCCTTGTGACCTACCAGAAGCTTCGAGGCACCACTCAAAACTCGCGCCAAAACTGATTTGAACATGCAAACAAAGTGGACGGAGTGAGACGCGTGGTCCAGCGACTACACCATTGAGATAGCTACTGCAGTGCTTTGAGCAGTTATTTTAAGATTCACGTTATTTACTTTGCAGGTTCATAAAAATTTCATGCATGACATTCTCCATCGCTAACTGCAACTTAAATACAAACAATTGAGCCCTGGCTGACATTCCTTCCAAGCCAGCATTACTTGGTGGAGTGTTTTTTTATGTAGTTAATAAGACCATTCGTTGAAGAATCGTGTGACGTCACAGGTTCAGGGCCCTCCAACTCCGGCTGAATTGCTTTACCAAGCTGTTTGCCTAATTCAACTCTGTAAGAAAAAAAAATCCAGAAAAAGAAAACTGAATTATTTATTCTCCTCACTGTTTACTAAACAAAATGTCATAAGGAGAACTTTCCTATTTGCAATTCCTTACACGGGAGTTTTACTGGATAAAAGGGTAATTCAGTGTTCTCAATAGAATTGATAACATATATTGGCCAAGGAATCGAGTCAGCATTCGCCTACTTTTCTTCAAAAGCACGTCAGTGAGTAATTTAGGCTGGCACATGAAAGCTACAAGTCGCGCGTGTCTGATCACTGCCGCGTGTCTTACTCGCACCCGGTCACTTTGAAAGTATAGAAAATAGCTCTCACAATCACATGATATTCAAATCATACATCTCATGGAAAAGATAACCTTAAACTATACGAGCAAATCACCACTGGAACATGTAAATATTCCGAAATATGAACATTTTACACGTAAGATTAACAGAACTTTCTCACTTCTGTGTGCCCGTTGTACTTTCCAGCGTTCTCTACCGTTTTAATCTTGCATTGGACTTGCTTTGCCATCACTGTTATTTCAGTTACAACAGGAAGTAATTTGATCATTTTCTAATAACTCTGGTAAATTGAAGATGAAATCAGATGCGATCTGTTCAAGCAAAACTCTTGACTAAACGTTAAATAACTCTTAATACGCGTGACTGTTCGTGACTGACATTATTACTACAACAGAGTGTGTCTCATGAGACGTCACAACAGGTCTCATGAGTAAGTATTGTAGCACAACAGGAAGTCAAAATGTTAATCGATCCGTCACGTCCTTAGGGACTTTATAAATACATTCGTGACTAAAGTACTTATCTTGTTAGTTTATTCGAGCACTAGATCTTCCATAAACCGGCCGATCGTCTTCTCAAAAGTCAAGATACATTGATCAATATATGTCTATGAATTTGAGATATCTTTTTGAAAGCTGTAACAATGAAACAACATGGAAAAGCAGAGAAGCAAATGAACAGAACACAGATGTTGGAGCGCTTTTGTTCCGGGTCAGCCTTGTTGTTGTCTCTTTTATGTTGTATTGCGTGGATTAACGTGGAACTCAGAATACAAGAACACCATCGACTGATATCACACTCAGCAAAGTTCTGTGATAAGATAGAGACAGAAATCACACAAAAGATGCAGAAGAATTACGCGCGTTGGCAACTTGAGAATATAAGGAAAGAGGAAGATGGTAAGTTTTGCTGTGATAGCCGTCATCTATTCCCAGTCTGTTACACCAATGTTCCACGCATACTTTTGCCTAGGTGATTCAGCATTTGACACTTTACAGTCTAGGAAAAAGATCACTCTTAAGTAAAACTTTTCTTTACATAACACTTTTCATTTAAAAAAAAGTTTCCTCGCGAGTAAAGTTAAATTTAGCCACGGAACTGTGGGTTAAAAATTTATAATCTGTGGTTGCAGAAGTATTTTCCTTGATAGTAAACGTCAAACTTTAAATTACAAGATAACATTTCCATTTCTTTGATTTCAATGAATATGAGAAACAGAGCCAATCTTTGATATTTTCAGACGAACAGGAAGCTATATCGAGAAAGAAACGCTTAACACGGGATGATTTACAACAAAACTCTTCCCCAGCATCCTCTTTTGTGCAAAAGCTGATCAAACAAGAGCTTGGTCTGCTGCAAAACCAATTCTGCGCAAAAAATCACACACTTTGCCAAGCAGGACAAAAAGGTAACAGAGGAAGACGAGGAAGACCGGGAAACCGAGGGAAACTGGGTCCTCCCGGAAGAACTGGCCCTGAAGGGCCGCCTGGTAAATATGGACCTATAGGACCACCGGGGCCGATGGGAATAAAGGGGGATGTCGGATTACCAGGGAGCCCCGGTCCCTTGGGACCGCGAGGGCCACCGGGAGAGAAAGGAGCCACAGGTAAGCCCGGTGAGTCCCTCTCAGCGCCATCTCTGACCGAGCGACCCATTGGAATGACAGTCAATGAAAGCCAGACGGCCATGTTGAAATGTAAAGTGAGTGGTAACCCAAGGCCAAAAGTGAAGTGGTCTAAGGTGACATCATCGCTTCCTGTTGGACGTCACATGGTAGAGTCCAGTGGTACACTGATTCTAAAAGACGTTAGACCTGAGGACGACGGAGTTTACAGCTGCAAGGCAGAGAGTTTGCTGGGACAAGTCAACACCTCAGCAAAATTAACTGTTCAGTGTAAGTCTTTAAATTTATTTTTGGAAGTCATAATAATAATAATAATAATAATAAGCTTTATTTGAGATGCAAAATAATGGATCATATAGACTAAAAAGATTATCTGGTATTAGCCCATGTGCATATATATAGTATAAAATATGTATATAATAAAATTATAATAAATACATAAAAATGGACTAAAAAAATATCATGATGCAAAATAGTAAAATAAGAAATTATAAATAATAAGAATAAATAAATTATAACATATTCCTTAAAGTATATATAACATATTTTTGTATTAATTTAAAAAAATAATAATTCAACTAGTCAGTTAAGCCAAAGAGCATTTATGTTGATTGTGATCCTCTTGTAATAAAAATTCAAAGAGTTTACTTTTAAAGGTGCTGAGATTTGTTATAGTTCTGATATCCCTAGGTAGAGAGTTCCAGCCCCCTACAGCAGAGAATTCAAAAGTTTTTTCACCAAAACCCGACTTAGCATTGGTAACATTCAGTAAAGAGTCATCTCTCAAAGAGCGAGAGCGAATACTAGAACGTTTTATAAGTTTGTCTTGGAGTTGCTTTAATTTGGACAGTTAATATCATTCACTATTTTAAATGTAGTTATAATTCGAAACAAAAGTCTACTGTTGAATAGAGTCAAGATCTTTACTTGGTCCCTTAAAACTTGTGAAAATGTTCTCCTATTCTTGCAAGGGAATGAAATGAAACAGTTCTTCTGACACACTGAGTGACATTCCTTGTCAGAAGAAAATTAAATTTCCAAAGCTGAACCTTAATTCTTAAAAAGAAATTCACTTTTTTTCTTATTTGAACCTGTAATTAAGGCATGATATTGGGTGTTATGAAGCCAAACTATGACGCCATAGATTCCGGTGTTAACGCTTCTTAAGGAAGGAATTATATCTGCGTTTTCTTTTCCTCAGTCGTCCCTAAACTTAGGTTATCATCAAGTCGATTAATGGCTGAAGAGAAACAAAACGTCACTATTGCTTGCAATGCTGTTGGCAAGCCGCGGCCGAGCATCACGTGGTCTAAGTCAGTGGGTAGTCTTCCGAAAGATAGGACTGAAGTGAGGAATGGAACGTTGAAAATCTATAGTTTAGCGAGAGAGGACAATGGAATATTCATCTGTAAGGCAGAGAATACTTTGGGATCAGCGACAGACACTGCTCATCTCATGGTATTTACTCCTCTGAAGTTCAAAGTACGTCCTCCTCAGGAGGTGACTCCGCATGCTCCTGATTCTCTTTATGTACCATGTACGGCCGAGAGTGACCTGAGAACTACAATCACTTGGACAAAGGATGGCATGTCTTCCCTTCCTGTGGAGTCTAATGTTCTACAAAATGGAACACTGGTTATAAACAACATCAGGAAATCACACCAAGGAAATTACACCTGCAGAGCGACTAATGCTCTGACAACAATAGAAGCCAAAGTCAGAATCAACCCTCCTATTATTTCGTCTTGTTCTGTGATAAGAAAATACGTCAGTAGCGCAAACGGAAATTACGTCATTGACCCAGATGGTGAAGGGGGACTGGCACCTTTCGCGGTATATTGTGACATGACTGACAAGAATGGAGTTGGCGTGACTGTTATTAGTCACGACAGTGAAAGTAGAACACATGTGAAAGGATGTGAGTCTCAAGGCTGTTATTCACGAGACATTCATTACACCGGAGCGAGTTTGTCTCAGCTGGCGAGTCTCACTAGTGTCTCCTCACAATGTGAACAGTTTATCAAGTATGAGTGTCATGGGTCAGTGCTGATAGGAGGGATGGGAGGTGGGTACGCATGGTGGGTGTCACGCGACTCCGCTAAAATGATGACCTGGGGTGGAGCATCACCTGGAAGTGGTAAGTGCGCATGCGGGATGACTAACTCCTGTGCAGACCCCAGTTATCCATGTAACTGTGATAAGAATGACCTAGGATGGCGTGAAGACAGCGGTCTGCTCACTGAAAAGACACATCTACCAGTTAAACAACTCAGGTTTGGTGACACAGGTGATAAACCAGAAGAAGGATATCACACTCTGGGAAAACTTAAATGCTATGGAATAGCATGAGCAGTTAACATGAAAGCAGTTAAGAGGAAAAAACAAAGCCAACTTTTAATTTAGTTGAAAGTTTGGCTTTAGACTGTACGTGAAACAGTATTAAAAGAAAGTATTGATTTCAGATATGTTTCTTTCTGGCACCAAAGTACATTTTCTTGACTTGAAAGCGCAACTGATCTTATCTTCCACCTCAATTTCATATATTAACGACAGCTTCAGGGTGTGCTTTGTTACGGACCGTGGAGTTAACTGATCAGTTCTAGCCGCGTTCTAAGATTGAGACACACCTCGTAAAATTGAAATGCTATGAAAGGGCACGTACGTTTAAAATCAAATATAGATTAGAGTGTTTCCGAAGCATAGTTCGTCAAAACGGACATCTTTAGAACATTTTAAGAATAGGAATAATAAATTCGCTTTTCATGTTTCCTTTTCTCAGTATAGCCAGGGTAAAACGTTGTTAGCAAGAACTTTAAGGCTTTTAACGCAAATGACTGTAGTTTTATTTGCGGTCCAACATAAATAACGACTTTAGTTCTTTCAGGAACTTTAAAGTTTCATTTTATTTTTATTTCACAACTTATACGTTGCAACTTTCTAGACCTTGTAAGCTTCAACAGCGTCGCCAAAATTATATTAAGTTGTCTAGTTTGCTTGTAAATGATAGTGTCCTCTTGTAATCTATCAATGAATATGTAGAAACTTGCTGAGAAGTTCCTCTTGTCCCTTTTGATCTACCAGAAGCCTCAAAGCACCACTCAACACTCGTGCCAAAACTGAATTGAACATGCAAACATCAGGGAAGAAGTGAGGTACACGGTCCAGCGGTTACACTATTCAGATAAATACTGCAGTACTTTAAGTAATTATTTTAAGATTCACGTTATTTACTTTGCAGGTTCATAAAAATTTCATGCATGACATTCCCCATCGCTAACTGCAACTTAAATACAAACAATTGAGCCCTGGCTGACATTCCTTCCAAGCCAGCATTACTTGGTGGAGTGTTTTTTTATGTAGTTAATAAGACCATTTGTTGATGAATCGTGTGACGTCACTGGTTCAGGGCCCTCCAACTTCGGCTGAGTTACTTTAGTAAGCTGTTTGCCTAACTCTCCTCTGCATGTAAGAAATAAAAATCCAGAAAAAGAAACTTCAATTATCTATTCTCCTTACTCTTTACTAAACAAAAAATCATAAGGAGAACTCTTTCCTATTTGCCATGCATTCCTTACACGAAAGTTTTTCTGGATAACAGGGTAATTTAATCAGTATATATTATCAACTGAGTTGATAACATAAATTGGCCCCCGTAAAGAGTTTTAAAGCTGACGTTTCGAGCGCTAGCCCTTCTTCATATGCTCTACCGAAGGGCTAACGTTTGAAACGTCAGCTTTAAAACCCTTTACAGTGGCCAATTAACGCTATCAACTCAGTTATACTATCCCACCGACGCAGCACCACAGTTTCTTTAGAAACTTACCTCCTTTATTCAGTTTTTCAGGATACCGATGAAGCATAGACTACAGACACCAACTTCTGCTTATTACCTCGTGTATAATTGTGGCCTTTGTATTAATTCGATCGCCCAGTACAATAAAGATAGGTAAGCTACTTATCCCCATTGGTCAAAGGAGTTTATATCCCAGACTACACCCTAAAAAAATATTTATACATGACTGTAGAAAAATAGAAATAAGGAATCGAGTCAGTATTCGCCTAATTCACTTCAAAAGCACGTCACTTTCTTTACATTAATTTACTAAACAAATTTTCGCAGAACTTGATGTAAGTAATTTAGGCTGACATGTGAGAGCCACAAGTCGCGCGTGTCTTACTCGCACTCAGTCACTTTGAAAGTATAGAAAATCTCTCTCACAGTCACATTAACAAATAGATTCCAAGTTGCCGTGCGTCTGTTCAGTAATAGATCAAAACAGAACAAAAAATGGCACACGAGGCGCAGCCGTCAAAATGACGTCCTCTGTGATCTATTACTGAACAGACGCACGGCAACTTGGAATCTATTTGTTTTATATAATAAAGAATTAAAAATACGGAAAAAAAGTTTTAATGATGACGTCATCTATACGTCTGATGATCTCCTTAATAGATCATCAGTGAGAACAAATCAGAATGCGCGCATAACTGAGCTTATTATATAATAATATTTAAACCATACGTCTCATGGAAACGATAACTTAAACTATACGAGCAAATCACTACTGGAACATATAACTCACCGAGCAAGGCACCAAGAATGAATGGAGTCAGTTTTTGGAACAGAATGGAATTATTGGGTTTGTTACCCATAAACACCTGTAATGCAAACAGAGACGTGAATAGTTTATTTCGGGTGGAAACAATCATTGAGAATCGAGATCTGTTAAAATTGTTCAATCAAAACATTCGGCAATTTAGAGATTACGCTGAATAGGCTAAAAAAAAAGATGTCACTGCGATGCAATACATCCTTTTAGAAATCTCCCAAGAAGGAGAGAGTTCTATCTAATCCCCTGATCATGAAGGCGTCCTAGTAGTTCTTTTTTAAACTCTCTGACCCCTAAAAGTGACCAGCTTCTAATTTCCCCTAACAATATCACACCTGAATCACACATTAAGGTCATGGGAATAGAGGAAATATCATCGACTAAAGCAGCTCATTCTTGTTAAACCAATTTCTCCTTGTCAGCACCTTAGGAAATGTATAGAGACAGTATGAAGAATATGCACACTCATGTTATGGTGTAAAAGGTGTGACTGCGGTAACCGTAACTTTCCAACACCACGATTAACTGATAAAAAGCAATTTATTGATGTGGGAGAACGATGAGAGTTGAAACTAAAAAAAATACGATATTACAGCAATTTATTAAATAAAGGTGATAGGAAAGAAATACATGCCAACTTGAAACGACGATACTTAAATTGTTACGTTTACTCAAAAACTGCACCTGCCTTCGACCAAAAAAAGATCCTCCATCTCTCGTCTTCCAATTAGAGCCATTTTATCCCTACAAAGAGTTAAGGTTATTCACCTGATATTTATTTTGCTTTCCTCTTGACATCGTTGTCTTAATGAGGCTAACCATAAGCCGTAAAACAGTAAAATAATTTAGCCGTTAGGAGTATTAATTGACAAATTTTAAGCGTCAGTCGTAAAAAAAATAACCGTAACCACAATGGAAAGTTATTAACCACAAGCCATACATTTGAAAAAAATTTAACCGCGAGCCGTAAAAGCAATCACCCTAATGAGACCCTCTGATAAGCGTTAACGCCGATCCAAAGCAATATTATTATCGTAGATGTTTTCTAGGAGTAACTGATTTAGTCAATCATCTGGCTGTTGACCGATAAACAGGGAAACGCAATGATTTGTGATGGAGTTGCATACATTATCTTATAATCAGCTATTTTCAAACACTTTTTATTACCTGGGTAGCCGGAATACCTCGCCATTCCCATGTAGGTGGATGACTTATCTGTTAAAAAGCAGGCCCAGCAAATGATGCTCTCTTGCTTTGCCGTTCAAATCGCATATTTTCTTCTCCCACCAGAAATTAAAACTCATGCACTGAGGATCAAGCGCGCATATATCTACGCAGTCAGAATAGTGTGATGTTTGCTTTGTGTTGTAGGAAAAGTTAAGAAGGGCAAAACCAAGCTGGGATTTTTCTTCACGACACATACCACCATTTGAAACCGAAAGTTGACGGTGAAGACAGAGAAAAGCTAACCAAATGCGCTGGAGATAAATTTATCTCCGGTTGCTGCAGCCTGATAATAGGGACCTTACGATCCGACAACGGCGACGGCGACGTGGGACTTTTTTACTTCCGGTTACGTACTGCGCATGAGTAGATTTCTGAGACGGCGGTGTCCCTTCACGCGCGGACGTCTAGAAGTCTTGTTTGACGTTGTGCGAAAACGTGGAAATTAAAACCCAACTATGGCAAATGAATCAAGGTAAAAACGAGACTTTGCTACTAAATTTAAAGAATACTAGTTTGTTTGAAATATCCGAAACGAACAGAGCGTGGAGTCTTTTGTAAACGACTACAAACTGAATGGAGAGAGATTTGACTTATTTTGCTTTGTATTTGTTTGTGATTGTACTTCACTCGCTATCACTGAGCCTTCTTATCACTTACTTTCCAACTTTTTTCTCGATCAAAAAAAGAGAACAATTAAGCTTAATTTTATTTTGGATTTACTAGGAAATAGTACAGAGATTTTGTCGGCAGCGGTACTAGTTACATTCATCATCGGTCATCTTGTCGAGATCGAAACACTCGTAGTTAGTGTACGGTAAATCCGGATTTTTAGGCTTGTGTAAATCGTAGAGAAGCACGAATTCTTCAGCGTTAATCAAACGGGAAGCATGAGCCAGGAGAATAGTGTCACGGAACTTTGGTATGGCTTTCTAAAAAACTTTCGTTGACTTAAACACGATAAACATCAATGACCGTCGTCAACGTTCTCGCTCGTAAAATTCGTAATCTCAATTTTGGCGGGAACGCCAACACGACGTGGCCCCGCTCGACCCAGACTTCTCACGTTGCCGTCGCCGTCGCCGTTGTCGGATCGTAAGGTCCCTAATGTTAAGATTCGGCGACTTTGGAACACAGCCTATTCACCTGTTCTCCACAGTTGGAAATCATGATAATGCATGACACTATATTGCTTTTACTTGAAGGCGTTGCCTAGCGACTAAAAAACACTGAGGTCGGTCTTGTCTTACATGAAAGCTTTTTAGTTCGATTGTATTTATTAGCTTTTCATCTGGTGTACCCTGGATAAAAGGTGGACGAAATTTAACAATTGGTTCATACGTCAGCGTGCGTTCATCGAGATATGAAGCACGCGGGAAGTTTGGAGAGCACGAAAGATGCGTAATAGTTGCTCGAGGCGTAGCCGAGAGCAAATCTAGCTTCTTGAAACATCTACGAAAGATGCGTAAGAGTTGTAACTCTAGCTTCTTGAGTGCTCTCCAAACTTCCCAAGTGCTTCATATCTCGATGAACGCACAGCTGACATATGAACCAATTGTTTTATAACATTTTCAACCCGATGGAAAAT